AGGACTGAATATCTAATTATTAAGTTTAAATTAATTCTTTTGGAGCAAGCAAATAAGAAATTACAAGATTAACTGAAATAATCTCAATGAGAGAAAAAGAAGTAAATGAATTAAGAACTAGAGTTGTCTAACTAGAATAATCGAATTCATAAATAAACGTCTATTAAGCTAAATTATAAGAATGTGAACTTAACAATTAATAATTAAGAAAAAGAATTGAAGAATTAATGATCTAAGTCAATGAACATAGTAATGAATTAGTAAAGAGATCTAAGAGAGAAGGTGATATCTAAAATTATATTACAAACATTTAAATATAAGAAGAAAAAATAGTAAAAATGAGTTAATAATTAGAATTATCTTAAAAAAGAATTTCTTAACTTGAATAGGAAATTAACTCTTATAGAATTAAAATAAGTGAGTATGAAAGCAGCAAGGCTAATATTCCTGTTTATGAAAGTAGAATTAATTAACTTACCTAGTAAATTGAAAGCTTAAATAGCTTAGTTGTTAATAAAGAAAATGAATTAAGAACCGTTAGATCTGAAATTTCATAATATTAAATCTAAATTAATTAAGTTGGCGTTTCTAAATAAGAGATTACTAGACTTACTGAAATAATATCTGTTAGAGAAAGAGAGAATAATGATTTAAGAGGCCGAGTAGCTTAATTGGAAAATAGTTCAAGATAGATTTAATTATATGAAAGTAAAATTTAATAATTAGCTCAATAAATTGAAAGCTTGAATGCACTGATTATTAATAAAGACAATGAGCTCAAATCGGTAAGGACTGAAATATCTAATTATTAAGTTTAAATTAATTCTTTTGGAGCAAGCAAATAAGAAATTACAAGATTAACTGAAATAATCTCAATGAGAGAAAAAGAAGTAAATGAATTAAGAACTAGAGTTGTCTAACTAGAATAATCGAATTCATAAATAAACGTCTATTAAGCTAAACTATAAGAATGTGAACTTAACAATTAATAATTAAGAAAAAGAATTGAAGAATTAATGATCTAAGTCAATGAACATAGTAATGAATTAGTAAAGAGATCTAAGAGAGAAGGTGATATCTAAAATTATATTACAAACATTTAAATATAAGAAGAAAAAATAGTAAAAATGAGTTAATAATTAGAATTATCTTAAAAAAGAATTTCTTAACTTGAATAGGAAATTAACTCTTATAGAATTAAAATAAGTGAGTATGAAAGCAGCAAGGCTAATATTCCTGTTTATGAAAGTAGAATTAATTAACTTACCTAGTAAATTGAAAGCTTAAATAGCTTAGTTGTTAATAAAGAAAATGAATTAAGAACCGTTAGATCTGAAATTTCATAATATTAAATCTAAATTAATTAAGTTGGCGTTTCTAAATAAGAGATTACTAGACTTACTGAAATAATATCTGTTAGAGAAAGAGAGAATAATGATTTAAGAGGCCGAGTAGCTTAATTGGAAAATAGTTCAAGATAGATTTAATTATATGAAAGTAAAATTTAATAATTAGCTCAATAAATTGAAAGCTTGAATGCACTGATTATTAATAAAGATAATGAAATTAGATCTGTAAGGACTGAAATATCTAATTATTAAGTTTAAATTAATTCTTTTGGAGCAAGCAAATAAGAAATTACAAGATTAACTGAAATAATCTCAATGAGAGAAAAAGAAGTAAATGAATTAAGAACTAGAGTTGTCTAACTAGAATAATCAAATGCTTAAGTTATAATTTATTAGGCTAAATTGTAAGAATGTGAACTTAACAATTAATAATTAAGAAAAAGAATTGAAGAATTAATGATCTAAACAAATGAACACTAAGAAGATAGAGTAAAACGTTCTAAACAAGTTAATGAAATGGAATATAAAATTTCTTAAATTAAAACACTAGAAGAAAGAATAATTGTATTTACTTAAACCATTGAATAGATGAATAACAAAATTAAATAGTATAGAATATATATATATATATATATATATATAATATATATATATATATATATATATATATATATAATATATTTAATTTTTTTATAAGATACGAATAAGAAATATACACATTAAGAGCATAATCATCCTAATATGAAAGTTTAAGACAATTAGTAACTATCCGAGAGCGTGAAATCTAACAATGGTAGAGTAAATATCTTCATTTAGAATAATCTTCATATCAATAATAAAACCTCTAAGTCGTTGTTTCAGAAAAAGAAACTAACATTTAATCTTTATAATAATAAATTTCAAATTTAAACAGTTTAAATGCCTCCCTCACTACAAAAATTAGAGAATTGGAAACTTCAACTTCTGGTTCTATAATTATGTAAGAAAAAATGAGCTTGCTCCTTGAAAGAATAGCCTACTAAGCTGCATTAATTGAATAATTAAGATATGGTGGATAATCAGTTAAACAAACAGACTCTGTCATGAGATCAAGTGATGATGTAAGAAGATCTATTACCTAAACAAATGTTATATAAGTTGGAGGAGGTGAATCTGAAGTTGTTAGAAGATCTAGTAAACAAGTAGTTATAAGCTAATCTCCTAATAGATAATAAATTTCTTCTAGTTATTATGTTACTAATGTTTAATAACCTCAATAGTATTAATCAGTCTAATATTAATATTCTTAAGGTGATTAAGGTGGTTGATATTAAAACTCTAGTGGAGATCTTAAATTTTCTTAAAAAATATGATATTGATAAATCTCTTAATTTGATTTATAAAGAAAAATATATCATGTTTTTAGATTTTTTTTTGTCATTATCTAAAAACTTATTATTTTTATTTTTAAATATTTATTATTAGAATATATGGTTTCTTTTATTTATTAAACAAAAATATTTTATATTTATAATTTATTAAGTTTATAATAATTTTTATATATATTAATTTATTTCTCAAATTTTTGAAAATAAATAAATACATTTTAGTATTTAAAAATAATTGAACTTATAAATTTAAATAAATTTAATAAATTTTAGATATTATATTTTATAAATGAATTAATTTAATAAACAATATTTTTTTGTTTTACATATACAAAAAATTATTATATAAATTATATATATATATATAAAATTATTAGATTTTTTACCTTCATATATATTAACACTAATAAAATAAAATGCACATTATTATTTATTAAAAGTTTTAAAAAATTAAATAAAACAATTCCATTTAAAATTCTAATTGTATAAAAGTAAGTATATAACTTTAAAATAAATATTAAAAAAATGCATTAAAATCCTTAAAATTTGAAAAAGAAGGCTTTAAAACTAAAAGTAAAGTTAATATAAACTAAAATTTTTAAATTTAATTTATCTTAAACATAAGGTTAAAAATTTTTAGTACCTATAGTATATCTAAAAAAAAATAACAAATAAAAATGTTTAAATAATATTAAGAAATAATAATAAATATATAAAAAATAATTAAAAAATCTCAAGCAAAAAAACTAAAAATAATTAACGATTAATAACAAAATTAATAAATTTAAAAGAAATAATAAAATTTCTATAATAATTATATTTAAAGTTCTTAAAAATATTTAACCTATAAAAAATTAGATAATTTGCTTCATGAAATATATAATTTTTATAATTTTAAAGAAAAATATTAGGAAAAGAAAATGCCTTTGCAGAATTTTGTGAAGTAATTTGCAGTTTTTCAAAAATGGTTAGTATACTTATTTTGAAATTGGATTATTTGAAAAATTAAAAAGAAGAATCAATAATTTAAATTGGAAAAGAATATATAGCCCATATGAAGTGTATGGAGAAAGCTTTTTACTAAAGAATTTTAAAGAAGATCAATTAGAGACAGCAATTAGTTATTTAGATAATAAAATTAAAGAAGGCTCGAAAATATCATACAATAAATATATAACTAAAAATTATGAGATATTTCAGAAAAGTTAGTTAAATTTTAAGTTTGTTTAAAATAATTTAAAAAATATTTTTTTAATATTAATGAAAATAAAAATATAGTATAAATATTCTAATATACTAATTTTTTTACTTTTTTAATTAATATTTTATTTTAAATAAAATATTTTTTGGATTAGTTTAATTTTTTTATATCAATTAGGTTTTTTATTCTAATATTAATTTAGCATTTTTATAGATATTTATTAAAAATTATAACGTTTATCACGTTTTCTTTAAGTTAATCTTGTACGGTTTCTTTAATTTTTATCTAACTAGGCAATTTACGTATGTAACTCAATTCTTTGCTTAAATTTTTCTTCACCTTCTTATACATAAATTTATTTTTATTAATTTGATTAACTTTTTTCATTTAAATTATTTTTTTAATCAGAAAAAATTTAAGAATATGATTTCCTATCTTAAGGAAATTGTTAACTTATTAAATTAATATATGCTTCAGTAAAATATATACTTTATATTGATTCCATCATCATAATTGTATTTTTTAATTAATATTTATATAATTTTTTAAAGTATTATAATTTAAAAAATATCAAAAGAATAATTATAAAAATTAAAAAGGGTTTATTAAAATATCATATATTAAAATAATATTAACTCAAAAACAAAAAATAACTATTTTTTAAAAAATAAATAAAATAATAATTATAAAAAAAAATATGTTTAATTTAATTTAAATTAACACTTATTATAAAAATTAAGAAATTTAGTTTATCAAATTTATAGAATTTTTTTTTAATATTTAAAATTAATGATTATTCATTACATAATTAAATATTTTAAAAACAATTATTTAGTATTTACATATGAAATAATTTTTAAATAATTATTAAATTCTTAAAATATATAAAAAAAGAACATAAAAGCACTAAGTATAATCAAAAACATTATATATAATAAATATATATTTATAATTTTAAAAAAAAAATTAGTTCCAAATTTAATACTAAATATTAGTATAATTAATTATTATTAAAAATAAAAATAATTAGCAATAGTGAATAGAAGGTATGTTATAATAATACATTTAATAAGACAATAACTTATAAAATCCTTCTGAAATATCGAAATTCTCTCCAAATTAAAAGAGTAAATAAATTAAAATATACTTTATTTTCAAAAACACTAATATATAAAAAAAGATGAATTAATAGAAATATAGTAATCCATAATTTAAAAAAATAGTCAAAATACTAATTAAATTGAAAATTTTGAAAAAATACATATATAGAATATTTATAATAAATAAAGTTTAAGCAATAAAAAATAAAATAAATTTCTAAGAAAGTCTAATTTATTTGAAGAAAAACGTTAGAATTTATTTTTTAATACAAACGATTAAAACAACACATCTAATTCATCTTCTATAAAAATCTATAGTTAAGGCGTAAAATCATTTAATAAATCATAAGATTTTATGAATTAAACATTCAACTAAAATCGAATAGACTATATTATATAAGATAATTAATAACTTAATAACGCTTTTTTATATGATAAATATATCAATTATAGTATATTAAATTCAGAAAAATTTGAATTGTAAGAAGATGTTATTTAAGAAGAACTAAATTAAAGTAAAATTAATGAAAAAAGTAAATATTTTTAAATTTAAAATATTTCTCCAATAAATGCTTAAAAAAATAAAAATAATCCATAATATTCTGAATCATATGAATAGGGCTAATAATTATCAAATCTATCTATTTTATAAAAATTTTAAAAATAATAACATCAATTTTAAGAAAGCTAAATAGCAGAAAATTAATTATAAAAAGAAATTTCTTCATAATTAATAAGATAAAAAATAAAAGATTTTTTAATTGAAATTAGGTATCAGATATTAGAAGAATCAAAAAGAAATTTAATAAATGATATTTTGATGAAAATTACATTATAATTAGTTATTGAAAAATCTAATTATGAAAAAGAAAATTTATAATCATCAGAATAATTTATTTTTAAAAAGTAAGAATAAATAGATATAAACATTAAAGAATTAATTGAAAATAAATATTTCTAAAAACTTAAATAAGAAATATAATTAATTAATTAACTTTAATGTAATTTCTAATAGGATTAAAGTAAAAAATTTACTTAAGATCTTAAAATACTTAATAAAAGTATAAAAAATTTTCAAAGTTAGGATGGTATTATATTATATTTTTGAAAAATTATATAAATTAAAAAAAAAATATATATTATAGGAAACTTATCAGAAAGCATTGATAAAAACAGTCAAAACGTATATTAAAAAATACGCTAAAAAATAGTTAGAAAATCTAATATCTTGAAATATGATTTAAATAATAATAGTATAGAATATGATGAAAAAAAAGAAAGATTTTAAAACTTAAAAAGTTGATTTTTAAAGAAGAAAGACTGTACTTACTTTATCATTTAAACTAATTATATAATTTTAATTAAAAAAATTATAATATATATATATATATATATATATTTATATATATACATATATATATAATAATTTTTTGAAATTCGAAATTATATTATTTATAAATAAATATAATTTTACAACTTTTGTAATATTTTTAATTGAAAAATTTAATTTATAAAAAATAATAGCTTATTATTTATATTATTTTAAATAAAAAGTTTAAAATTTTTGTAATTAAAAAATAATTATTTAAATTATTTATAAATAATTACAATAATTTTTAATATTAATTTATATAATTATAATCGCTTTTAAAATATTTTATTTTTCATTTATACTCATTAAATTTTAATTTAAGAATAATGTCTTCTTGCTAAAAAGGTAATAATATTATTTTTTAAAAAATAAATTTTATTTTATAAATGCTCTATTAAATTTAAAAAATTTAATTTAGCCAATTTTTATTTATTTTAGAAAAAAAAAATACTTATAAATAATTAATATAATTAAGAAAATAAAAATGAGAAGAATAAGTTAAGAGTTTATTTCATAGTTAAGATAAGAATAAACTCCTCCTAAGAAAATTTTAAAAAATACTAATATAATAAAAACTCCTATATAAATATGTAAAGCAAATAAAGATATTGACGAAGGTATGAAATTATTTTTTTTTAAAAAAAACATTAATTATATTAATTAGATAAAAATTAGGAAAATTAAAAAAATCAAGAGAATAAATTTATATAAAATATTTAAAAGGATTAACAATTTACGAATTACTTATAAAATAATTAACTCTAAAATTTGCAAAATAGTAAAAATGATAAAGAAGAATTCAATTCTGATAAATTTATTACAAGATATAGCAAATTAAGATAAGAATTTAAAATGAAAAAATCAAATGTTTATGATAGGAGACAAAGTTTTATTGACGATTTAGATGAAAATTAAAGCCGTGAATCATAAATAGAAAACTAAAAAGAAAATATATAAATATAAAATCAAAGTAATTGTATAAATAGAATAAGCTAATTTATAAATTTAAATAATGAATATAAAAATGAAAATTTTGTAAATTAAACATTTAATGAATAAAATAAAGATAATAAGGAAATATAAAATTGCTAAGAAGTTAGTAGCATATACAACAACAATAGTTTTAGTTAAGGAGATGAAAGTAAAATTTGTATAAATTCAGATAAAAAATAATTTTAAAATTAAAATAAAATTTTATAAGAATATAATTAAAAAAATTATATCCCAGATTTATATCTTCTTAATAATTCTGAAAAATCTGATATTAATTAAAGTATAAATTAATAAAAAATTAATAAAATTATTAACTCTGATATTAAAGATAATTAAATTCATAACTCTGATATTAAAAGTAAGTAAAAATAATAAATTTTTTTCAATCAAAACCCAATAAATTTTAAAATTTAAATTAAATAGAATTATAATATTTAGTAGAAAGATAGATAATTACTAATTTATTGAATGAAGCTGGTTATTAAAATTTGAATTAAAATAAAAAAATATATTAATTGATTTACTGTTAAGTGCTACTTTAGAACTTATGGTAGAAAATAATAAAGAAAAAGATGAAGAGTAATCACAAGAATTTTATTCATGTACAAGTGATAATGATTTAATTGAGGTAGGTAAAAAATAATAGTTAGAAGCTCATCATTTTGAAAAATTTAAATAAGAAGTTAGTTTTCTTTATCAATTATATGAAGATTGTAAAGAAGAATAAAATCGATTAAAAAATAATTTTTTTAAATAAATAATAAAATAATATAATTACAAAAACGATATAAGGAAATAAGAAGTTTGTATTAATTTTTTATTTTATATAATTTTAATTTTTTTATATATATCAATTAATAGCATAAAATTCTAATAAGAAAAAGTCAAGTATAAAATAATAAAATGTATTAAAAGAATTAAATATTGATATTAGTGATGATGAGGATAAAAAATAAAATTTTAAAATTAAAAAGTTGAAGGAGTTTATTACCATAATTATAAATAAAGAATTAGAATTATATATATTTAAACTAAAATAACAAAATAATTAATTTATTGTAAAACATTTTAATGTAAAGATTTATTTTTGTATTAATCTCAAAAATTTATGTTTTTTAAAAAAATTTATAATTTAAAATATCTAATTTAATATTTTTGTGTTTTGTTTATATATATCAAAAATATAATTATTTTGTTTAATTTATTAGTTTAAAAATCTGGATATTTGTATGAATAATTAAATAAAGATAGAGTTTCTATATTGGTTTAATTAATTAAAATTTTATTGAAGGCAATACAATTTAATTAATAAATGAATTAATATTATTTCTTTATAAACAATTATTTATTGTTCAATAAAAAAATAGCAAAAAATAAACTAAAAATTATTATAAAAAAAAATTTAACACATTTAAAAAAAATATTTTTAAGTTTCAAAATATATATTATTTAATATTAATTTATTAATTGTTATTATTTTTTATTAAAAAAAAAACATATATCATACATAAATTTCAATATAAAAATGATTAACAAAATAAAATCTAATAAATTACCTTCCCACATTTAATTTGATACAGTTTCTCCTGCAACAAAGCTTTTAGAAAAAAGGAGAAAAATGTATGAAGTGAACGAGGCTTTTGAATCATAGAAAGAAGAATTTAAAAAGTATAAATAAATATATATTTATAATTGAAATTAAAAATAGAAAAGAAGCTATATTTAAAAAGTAGGAAGATTAAATAAGAGATAGGGATTTAGAAGTTTAAGCAAACCTAATTAACTTTTGCAAATTATTATAAGAAAACGAAGCAAAGAAGAATAGAGCAGAAAAAAGATTATAGGACGAATTAAAGTCTAAATAGTTGAAAGAAGAAGAAATAAAAGAGTATAAAGCCTAATGTAATGATTTATAAGAATTTTAAGATATGGTGGATAAAAAAATAACAAAATTAAAAAAATATGAAGAATATTTAGATAATGTAATAAAAACTGAAGATTAATATTAAGATGTAAAAGAAATACTAATATTATATAATAAATTAACTGTTAGTTATAATGAGTTGAATAAAAAACATAAAGCTATGGAACATTAATATGAAATTCTTAAATAAGAATCAAATTAATTTGAAAAAGAAAGAAATTAAGAAATTTTGCAACTTAATAATGATATAAAGGAATAAACGAAAAAATTAGAAGTATATTTGAAATATAAATAAAAATATTTCTTTATAATTATTTTCTTTAAAAATTAGGAAAAGGTTAATGAAAGAAATTAAATTTAACATTTAGTTGAAGAATAAAATAAATACTCTTCAATTCAAAATTTAACTTTAGGAAGAATTTTAATGGCAATCGATAATTAATATGATAGAAGTAGAGAAGATAAGAAAAAGCTTAAAAATGAATATTTAGATTATTTTTAAGATAGTAATGATAATAAGGAAAATAGAAGGTCTGAAAAAGATAAAAAAAAGAATAAAAAAGAAAATAAAAAGGATTAAGATGAATAATAAGAAAAAGAATAAGATGATTATAATTAAAAAAGTAAAAATCATATTTTTATATAACTAGTTTTTTATTTATTATTAATTTTAAGCTAAAATTGCAATGGCAAAGTTAAAATACGTTAATAATTAAATTAAATACTTTAAATAAATATTAGATATGATGAAAAAAGATAATGATAAACCAAAACAAGGCAAATTAAATAATTGAAAAAAGTATTAGAAAAATTATTCATTTAAATTTAATACGTTGTAGAATGATTTTTTTATTATTCTGTATTTTTTTAAAAAAATTAAATCAAAAAAAAGACCATAATCCATTTTTTTAGATTGTGTTTTTAAAAATTAATTATAGAAAGTATAAAAAAAAAATTAAAATGTAATTTATACATATAAACCTTTAAAAATAATAAGAATTTAAATTATATGGAAAAAATTACTTTTTAAAATGAAAAAATTAACTTAAAATATAAAAATAAATAAAAAATAAAAGCAAAAGTAAAAGTAAAAATCCAAATATAATTCACATATTGCTGATTATTTATTTGTATTATTAAAGAAGTAAGTTCAAATCTAAAATATGAATATCGTTAAATGACATTTTGTGTCTGTCTCCTCCAAATACAATTAATTTATCTTTTCCATAAAAATCGCACTTATGTCCATCCCTTGCACATGGTTTTTTTCCAACAATTAAATTTGTTTAATCTTTTAACGGTTAATTAAATTTGCATACTTTACTTTTTGCAAATTAATTTATATTTTTACTAGGATTTCCAATAACTAATTAAATATAAATATTTTTTTATTAAAAAATAAAAAAACCATTTAAAGTGTTTTTAATTGCTTCAGATGTAGGTGACAAATCTCTGTATAAGCTTAATTTATCAGAAGGAATTTCAAAATTTTTGAGCATTTTCATTTTTCGTTAATTAAATTCTTTCCTCTTTTGTTCAGTCACACTTTTTGTAGGGCTTGAAGGCAAATGTTAAGGAGAAAAACAATTAAAAGCTTCGAAATTTTAATCTTCTAAATAATTTAGTGAATCTGATTTTTTATTAATATTTAATTATTACTTTTTAGTAAATCTTTTTGAAGGTGAAAAAGAAGCATATGTGTTATATTTTTTTTGATTTCTTTTTGTTTTTAAATTCGTTCTCTCTTCAGAATCACTATCAATATTTAATTTTATTAATGGTGAACATTCTTTTGATCTTGCTGAATATTAATCTATTTAAATCCATATACTTTTTTCACTATCGAAGATAAAAATATCATCTAACTCCCATGTTATAATATAAATTCCACCAAACAAAACAATATAATTGTCTAAACTAAAAATTATATGCCCACTTCTTAACTATTATAATATAATTTTTATTACTTTAAAAATATATTATTTTAAATAACCATAGGATTTATTTAACTATTTAAATTAACTTAACAATATAATTTTGTTTCTAAATCAAAATACCATAAATCATTTAACCTAGCTAATCCTGTATATCCTCCAAAAAAATATATTTTATTTCTAATACTACATATTGAACTATCTATTCTACCTTTTGGAGAATTTTTTAAATTTTTAGAATCAAGTGAAAAAAGTTCTTCTGTTTAAAAATTATCTAAATTAATAGAATAAATAGCATTTGAATATTATCCTATTTAGCTCAAATAACCAAACATAACATATAATTTATTATTTATTAAAATAGAATTATGCGAATCAATATTATATTATAAAGCTTATTTTAATGATAAACTCCATTTCGATTGTAAAAAATCATAAGCCCACAACTAACTACTACTTTATAAAATTTAATGTAAACCCCCGAGCAAGAGCAATTTATCTTTATAAACAACAGTCGAATGACCTTTTTTTTTTCCTGGATTTATTTAAGATTTAACCTATACTTTTTCCCAAACATATTATTAGGCTTTTAATTAAATTTACCAAAAATCAGAAAGAATTCCACAACTTAATTCATAACCACCATATATATATAAACTTTTTTAATATTTTTTTATTATTATTATTTTATTATAACCTATCATTATAAATATTAGCTGAACAACAAGATCTTGATTAAATATTGTTTCCCATTATTTTACATTCAGACCATTTATAATCTTTGCTATTTTATAAATTTGTGTTTTCTTATACTATGTTATGAAAACTGCCAACTATATTTTAAATAGGTGACTGCTTTTGATTTATTGGCGATTAAAAATGTTCATTTGCAATAACCCTTAATTTAAATTCACTTGGTTTGTTTGCCATTACAAATAAATAAAAATTATTTTATAATTTTCTATATATATTAAAATATAAATTGTGGATAAAATATATATAAAATAAATAAATTATTTTTTATACTAATAAAAATTCTTTATAATATATTAAAAATCTAAAATAAATAAATGAATATAAAAAAATAAAATATAAAATAATTATTAAAACATATTATGAAAAAAAAAAAAAAAAAAATTAAAATATATTTATTAATTTTATATAATTAAATAAATAAATTTTTTGTATTCTAAAAATATAATATTTTAATAATTTTATTTTTAAATTTATAAATATTTATTCAAAATATAAGTTTTATTATTAATAGATTATCAAAGATATTATGTATTTATAATAATAATACTCATTTTATAATTATTAAATTAATTAATTTTTTTTTTTTTTATTTTATTTTTTTTAAAAAATGTAATAAATATTATATAAAATTTGTAATATAAAATTAATAAAGTATCTTATGAATTTAAAATAATAAACTAATAAATAAAACCATTTTATATTATTTATAGCTGCAAAACTAAATTAATAAATAAAATTTATTTCATAATAAAAAACAATAACTTTATTAATTCAATAATTCAAAAAAAAAAAATTAATTAGCTCATTAATTATAAATATTGAAGAAAATATTTAAAAAATAAATTAATTATAGAGAAATATATATAAAATTATAATAAATAATATAATCTTGAAAAAATAAATATATTAAATAAAAAAATCAAAAAGTAAAAATACAAAACTGTTACAAAAGAATAAAAAGATTTTAATGAATAAAATTTAATATAATAAATATAATAAATTTTATTCTTTAAATATAAATATATAATCATATGTTTATGTAATATTAAAATTTAAAATTAAAATTAAAATTAAAATTAAAATTAAAATTAAAATTAAAATTAAAATTAAAATTAAAATTAAAATTAAAATTAAAATTAAAATTAAAATTAATATTAAAATTAAAATTAAAATTAAAATTAAAATTAAATTTAATTTTAAATTTAAAATTATAATTATATTAATTTTTTTTTTTTTTTCTAATAAATATATAATTAAAATTATAAAAAATGTTTCAGTTTTCAGTAATTAAATAATTATATTAATAATTTCTTTATTTTTAATATAAAATTCATGGTTAAATAGCTAAATTAAACGGAAACATTTTGATTTTGAAATAATGATAATTTAAAATAAAATTAATTATTCGCAAAAATTTAATAATTATATAAAACAAATTAATAAAAAGTAATGATATATTAATACTATTTAATAAAATTATTTTTGTTTTTCAAAATAAATTATATAATTAATTATGTTTTTTTATTTATATAAAATAATAGTTATATAATTATTGTAATTTAAATAGAATAACTTTATCATTTAATTTAAATGAATTATTT